TTTTTTTTTTTTTTTTTGATTTTTCAAGAGAGGGTTTCTCTGTAGTTTTGGAGCCTATCCTGGAACTAGCTCTTGTAGATCAGGCTGCCTCCCGAGTGCTGGGATTAAAGGTATGTGCCACCACCGCCTGGCTGAAACTCTTAATATTTTAAAGTTATTTTTTTTTTCAAATTCTTTTAGGGCTGGGTGGTCCCAGCTCTTGGGAGGCAGAGGCAGGCAGGGTCTTAGTGAGTTTGAGGCCAGCCTGGTCTGAGTAAGTTCCAAGACATTTGGGACTATACAAAGAAACCCTGTCTCGAAAAATAAATCTTGAAGATTTATTTATTTTTATGTGCATGAGTGTTTAGCTTTCATGTATGTGTGCACCACATGTGTGTCTGTGTTGCTCTCAGAGGTCATAAGAGGGAGTCAGATTCTCTGGAACTGCAGTTACAGGCAGTAGTGAATCTCCTTATGGGTGCTGGGAATGAACCTGGATTGTCTACAAAAGCAACAAGTGCTCTTAACTACTGAGCTCCTAGTTATTTTCTCTTAATAAGCATACTCTAAAATCACTTATTTAAAATGTAATTTATGATCCCCATATATTGTACACATGTAGAAAATGGACAAAGAATATAGCCAGGCAGTGATGGCGCACACCTTTAATCCCAGTACTCAGGAGACAGAGGCAGGTAGATCTCTGAGTTTGAGGCCAGCCTGGTCTATAGAGTGAATTCCAGGACAGCTAGGGCTACAGAGACAAAAGTGGTCTTAAACAACAACAAAAATCTGTAGCTTTCTTGGCATACAGGTATGGGCTAGCATTCTGGAGTCAGGCTCCTTAGATTGGAGCCCTGGCTTCATGATTTGCCCACTAGAAGCTGCTTGTGAGTTATTTAAGCTTTCGTTTGTGCTTTACCTTCTTCAGTGTGGCTTATTGTAATGCCCGTCCCGTAGGCGGCTGAGAATGCCTTTGCTGAGGGCCCGACTGTAGCAGTGTTAACATCATCATCACTGTCATACCCTCGTCATTGTTCACGGACCCTAGCTGTGCCTTGTGGAGCAGGATAGAATGAATTCCCTCCCCTTTTCCTTGACAGCGCTTGGGGCATTTGAAACAGCTTTGGTGCTTGACGATATCTTCATTGATTTCTTTGTTGAAGAAATAGTAGTGTGCAGTTTGCTGTGGCAGGGAAGTGTTAGATACTTTAGATTCGAAGAAGAGTCTCAGGGCTCAGCAGACTCTTGGTAACTCCATTCTTCCTCATTTTGTATCCACACATCCGCTGAAGAGAGTCCAGCACTCTGCGTGTTCATAGCAGGACAGCCACCCTTCCCTTGCACTCATAGGTTCCCCCTCCCCCTTTCCGCCTCTTTCTCTTACTAAGAAAGCTTTTTCCAAATAAAACAATGCTTGTTTGAACATATTTTTTTCCCCATGTTTTTCATGGGAGCATCATAAGCACATTGGAGGCTGAGATCAGCTAGCTTACTTACCATCCTGGCGCATGGCTCAGAACCACACACTGTACCTTTTCTGATGTGGAGACGCCTATGCCGTATCTGTGTTGACTATTTTGTCCTTTCCAGATGTTTCCTAAAGCAGTGCACCTGTGCAGCTTCTGTCCCTTTGTCCCAGCTGCTTTCACAGTTGACAGTGATAAGCAATATCCAGGATAGTTTGGTATCAGAATAAAGATATATTTGCTGCTGATTTTTTAGTCTTATTGAAATCACGTAGTTCTGTTGTTCATGTGATGAGGGCTCAGGACCCAGCATCCACGAATTCGCCTCTAGTCCAGCCACCTTTTGGACCTTCTGCCTCTGCCTGCTCATGCTAGAATTACAGGTGAGTGCCACCATGCCCTGTTCATTTTTCTTACTCTGTACTGTCTTAGTTCACCAAAGAATATATCAGTATTGAAAACTGAGGGTTTCTGTTTTGGTTTGGTTTGGTTTTTGGTTTTTCTGTGTAGCCCTAGCTGTCCTGAAACTAACTCAACCAGGCTGTCCTCAAACTCAGAGATCCACCTACCTCTACCTCCCAGTGCTGGGATTAAAGGCATGCATCGCCAATGCCTGGTTGAAAACTGGGTTGTTTTAAATTTACTTCCTATTTCTACTTTGCCAAAAAAAAATCTTTCCAAAGGTGATTTTACCTTTTCAAACATACAAATATGGATATTTAAGACATTTTTTGTCTGTGTCAATCAAGAACCTAGTATAGAAGAGACTGCTAGTAAATTAATGAGTCATTTTGTATTACTTTAAAATATGGAAATAGTGGACATCAGGTGTGGTGGTGCATACTGTAATCCTTTGGGAAGCTGAGGCAGGAGAACTGCGAGTTCAAGACCAGCCTTTGCCACATAGGGAGTTTCAGGCTTGCCCTGTTTCAAATAAAACCATATTAAACCAAACTACTGTCCATATTGGATCTACCTTTTTACAGTAATTTTATTAGTTGTGTGTGTATGTGTGCGTATGTGTGTGTGTGTGTGAGAGAGAGATTGGCCATAGCTTCAGATCCCTTCAGAACTGGAGTTACAAGTGATTGTGACCTTCTGATAAGATGTGAACTCAGCAGCAGGTACTCTGAGCCAACTCTTCAGCCCCTCCTCCCCCTTTCCCTTTTTCCTTTTAAAACAGTACTGGGGATTGAGCCTAGGGACTTCCACATCTGACATTGTTTTAAGATAATGGGGGTGGGGTGGGGGCTGGAGAGATGGCTCAGAGGTTAAGTGCACTGGCTGCTCTTCCAGAGGTCCTGAGTTCAATTCCCAGCAGCCACATGGTGGCTCACAACCATCTATAGTGGGATCTGATGCCCTCTTCTGTCATAAAGGTGTACATGCAGATAGAGCACTGACATATATTATAAATATATATATATATTTTTTAAAAGACAATTTTGAATTCTGATTATGTTTTATTGTGTAATATTATTAAATTAAGTACTGTATCATATATAAATTGGATTTTTTCAGTAAAGAGCCAAAGACAGAACCTTGAAGCACTAAGTTTTTTTCCTAGGTTGATATCAGTTGTTTAATTACAATTACATTTATGAGCATCTTTTGTTTTTGAAACATGGTCTTATGGAGCCTAGGCTGGCCTCAGACTCATTGTGCAAGCTGAGGCTGGCTATGACTCCTAACTGTCCTGCCTTTGCCTCTGAAGTGCTGGAATAAGTTTGTACTATCAAGAATAGATTTTCATTTCATTTTGTTGTACTTTTTGAGACAGGGTATTACTCTGGCCTGGACCCTCAAACTTGTAGCAGTGCTCTCAAGGGCTAGACTTACAGGCGTGTACCATCTTGCCTGGCTTGGTTTGACTTTTTGATTAACCATGAATATCACTAAATATACTGTTTTCCTACTTGTTATTTCACAGTCGTCTGTCAGGTTAAAATAGGCATCCTTGTTTGGTATTCTGCAGTGGAGGGATGGGTAGAGCTAGCATTTCCATTGAACTTTGTTGGCTCAGCCGAAGCTGCTCTGACTTGAATTAGAAGAATCTAGGAGCTTTACCGCTTTCTGTTTTAACACTCTGGCAGGTGTTGGTAGATGTGCCGTGTACCACAGACCGCCACTCCCTTCATGAGGAGGAGAACAACATCTTCCAGCGCTCAAGGAAGAAGGAGCGACAGATGCTGCCTGTGCTGCAGGCGCAGCTTCTCGCGTGAGTGGTGCAGTTATAGATTCTCAGACTTTACTGGAAGCATGCCAAGACCGTCACATAGAAGGATCTTTTGGCTGGAGATTTGCCTGGAGGTGATAGACTTCATGAGATTATCCTTTCTAGAATACTAACCACACCCTCACCATTTTATCCTTGGCACCAGTGACTTGCACATTTTTGAAAAGCAGATTCTGTCAGGTATACTGGTATATACCTGTATCCCTGGCTGTTGGGGAAACTGAGGCAGAAGGATAGCTTGACTAGGTGCTAACCTGGGCAGTGTAGTAAAGCCCTATCTCAGAGAAAGAAAGAGACTGGAGTTAAGAGCACTGTCTGCTCTTGCAGAGGACCCAGATTTGGCTTCCAGCACCCACATGGCTGCTCACAACCATCTGTAACTCCACTACCAGGGGATCCATGCCTCTTCTGACCTTCATTGGCTCCTGCACATACATATGTAGTACATATCCATATATTCAGGCACATGCATACACATAAAATAAGTAAAAAGGATTTTTTAAAGAAAAGAACTATTACATTTATTTATTTTTTAAAAAAGAAGTGCTGGGTGGTGGCACACACTTTTAATCCCAGCACTCAAGAGGCAGAGGCGGGCGAATATCTGTGAGTTCAAGGCCAGCCTGGGCTTCAAAGCGAGTTCCAGGACAGCTAGGGCTACACAGAGAAACCCTGTCTCAGAAAAAAAAAAAATGATCCTTTGAAGCCTGATTCTGGTTATGAACCAAACCCTGATGCTGGCCATCAGTTGAATTCTCTCCTTAGTCACACAGACTCCTGGCCCCTAGCCCACCACCCCCTTCCTCTCCTCTTTTTTTTTCTCTCTCTTTCTCTTTTTTCTCTCCCTATCTTTTTCTTTTTTTTTTTTTTTTTTTTTTTTGAGGTCTCACTGTATAGCTTTGTTTGACCTGGAACTCACAGAGATCTGTCTGCCTTTGCCTCCTGAGTGCTGGGATTAAAATAAAGGCATGCACCACTTTTTTTGGGGGGGGGGGTTGAGATAGGGTTTCCCCGTGTAACAGTCCTAGCTGTCCTGGAACTAGCTCTTATAGACCAGGCTGGCTTCGAACTCACAGGGATTCACCTGCCTCTGTCTCCCGAGTGCTGGGATTAAAGGTGTACGCCACCACCACTCAGCCTCCTCCTCTTCCTCTTCTTTTTTTTTTTAGGTTTCTTTTTATTATTTTTAATTATGTGTATGCATGTGTGTCTTCATGTAGGTATGTGCACATAAGTATAGATGCCCATACAGGTCAAAGATCTTGGATCCCCTGGACTTGGGAGTTATAGAAAATTGTGATATGGGTACTGGATACTAAACTCGGATCCTTCCCAAGAGCAGTATGTGCTCTCAACAGCCGAGCCGTCTCTCCACCCCTCAAAGGATTCTTCTGTGGAGACTTCCTGGAGCTGGGTATGGTGGTGCTACTCCATCAGGCCCTAGACTGCCCAGCCCATGTTCCTAGCCCTGTGTTGCTCTCACGCTTCTGGAAGGAATACCAGTTATTGTTTTGTTTTCTTGGTTTCAGGGCTGGACTCCTTGCCACCAAACCCGGAGGCCACGTTGTCTACTCCACGTGCTCACTGTCACACTTGCAGAATGAGTATGTGGTGCAGGGAGCCATCGAGCTCCTGGCCAATCAGTACAGCATCCAGGTTCAAGTGGAAGACCTGTCTCACTTCCGAAAGCTTTTCATGGACACTTTCTGTTTCTTCCCATCCTGCCAGGTTGGGGAGCTGGTAATACCAAACCTCATGGCCAATTTTGGGCCTATGTACTTCTGCAAAATGCATCGGCTGCCCTAGTGTCGCCCTGTCGACTCTGTTGGGGGCACCGGAACAGTCGAGTGGCAGAGGCCTGTGGACAGCAGGAAGTAGAACAGCGGCCCAGCTGAGGATGATCCTGTAAACTGCACTAAGGCCCCTGTTCCATTAGGGACTTAGAAAGAATCGGTGAATAAACCCATAGTTTAAGCTGTCAACTTGGGAAGAAACATTTAGCCAATAAAGTTGTTGAAGTACGCGAGAGCTGGGCCTGTAGTTGGGGCCTTCATGTCAGTCAGAGTTCCATCATGGTTCTCTGGGTGTCAGCAGAAGCTGCTGAGCACGCTCCCCAGAGTGCCCAGCCCCTGCATACAGCCCTCTCCCATTGGTGAGTTCCATTTAGTCAGCCCACAGGCCCACCAGCCGCCCCAGTGTCTCCATATGGCACATGCTCTAATTTAAGGAATAAGTAACTAAAACTGTTGAGTGTGGCTGGTAATCCCCTTCAGATAAGAAAGGTTACCTAAGCTGAGTGCTTCTGGCCTTTCCTTCAGATCACTGCAAAAGCTGCTTCTGGTTCATACTGTGTTTTTGTATGTTTCTTCTTTTACGTCTTCACTTGACAAGTGTTCTCTGAGTTCTTGTAGGACAGCTATGGCACTGGTAGGGGTGTGGTAGGGACTATGGGAATGACTGAGTTTCCTCATTTTACAGTGGCCACCTACTTCCTTTTACTTTTCAAGTACCTAGGAATCTCCTGATATTTTATTTCAGATATCATATTTTATTTCTGATCTTTTGCCTGCTCCAGTGTCTAATCTTTGGCCCATCTCCAAATCCTTCTTCCAGTATAGCAGGGTTTTGGATCACAGACAGTGTTTTGGAGTGACATTACATAACACACCGACTTGCATACTAGCATGCTAGGTATTTTGTAACATTTATTAAAAGAAGGCACCCTTTAGTGCCAGGGAATAGTAAACATTGCTTATGGTCACCCATGCACACAGGTATGTATGTCTGAATATTGCTTGGCTCTTCCTACTTTTTTTTTTTCAGTTTTTTTCTTTCTTTCTTTTCTTTTTTCTTTTCTTTTGTGTGTGTGTGTGTGTGTGTGTGTGTGTGTGACATGGTTTCACTCTGTAGCCTTGGCTGCCCTGGAATTTACTCTTTGTAGACCAGGCTAGCCTCAAACTCAGAGATCTACCTGCCTCTGCCTTCCAAGTGCTGGAACTAAAGGCTTGTGCTACTACCACCCAGCTTTGAAACTCTTAATATTTTAAAGCTATTTCCTTTTTAAAAAAATTCTTTTAGGGCTGGAGAGATGGCTCAGAGGTTAAGAGCATTGCCTGCTCTTCCAAAGGTCCTGAGTTCAATTCCCAGCAACCACATGGTGGCTCACAACCATCTGTAATGGGGTCTGGTGCCCTCTTCTGGCCAGCAGGCATACACACAGAATATTGTATACATAATAAATAAATAAATATTTAAGAAAAAACTAAAATGCTTTAAAAAATTCTTTTAGATTTATTACCTATCTTTCCAATTTATTTACTAGCTGTCTTCCCACTTTCTTTATCCCTCCTTTGTTGCCATTCTTTTTCTTTCATGCTTTCCCTGCTAATCCTTACCTGGTATTAGAAGTAGCCATTGAGAAGGACATTAGCAAAGGTTAAGCCATCTTCCTTCTTGAGATTTGTATTATAACTGAGGGAAGACCTTCCAGACTTTAAACCAAGTAAAGCTAGTAAGATGGAAATCCAAAGAACTTGGTTCGTACTCTGAGTGGGAGGGACCCTTACCAGCCTCTGCTCATGACATAGACTCTCTGCCTGCTGTTTACTCTCAACTTACATTGCTGAAGCTGAGAGACTTTGTGCCTGGGTTTCTGCCTATTGGCTCTTGGATGTCTATCTGCTGCTAATTGAAGGCTAAGCAGTAAACATTGAGGAGAAAAGGGTCTGCTGGCCCTTGGATCACAGTCTAATTGAGGACAGACAGACTAGGTAAGAAAAACTGCTGTATTAGGATTTCCTAAAGGAACAGAACCAATAGCATGTATATGTAGACATACATATATATGCATATATGTGCGCATGTGTATGTAGACGTACATTTATATGCATGCATGTGCATATGTTATAAAGGGGATTTGTTGGATTGGATAGAGGCTGGGTAGTCTACCAATAGCCATGTGCACACTGAAGAGGCAGAGAACTAGGTTCCCAAGGATGTCTGAGCAGTCTCATTCCAACACTGCAGTTTGGAAGCTTCCTGGAAAGTTGCTGCTGTTGAGTCAGTGTTGAAGAACTAAAGAATCAGTCTGATGTCAGTGGGCAGCAGTAGCAGTAGGTGGTATCACTGGAGCAGAGAGACTTGCTGGCTGGAGGGTTGCCTTCTCCCTATTTACCTTCATCATCTGGGCGGTTTGCTCTTTCGAGGGTCCCACCTATATTCGTCACTGTTCATGGGCCAGTCCTCTCTGGAAACATTCCTGTAGACATACAGCTTTATTTCCCCAGTCCAAGGCATCTCTAACCCGGTCATGTTGAAACCTCAGACCCACGATCACAATTACTTTGGAAAACAGTTTGTCTCCTGTAATCGAATATATACCGCCCTCTAATTCAAGTTACTACGGTGCTCAGAATCAGTTCAAGAGAAACTCTTATTCCCGTGCCCCTGCGAAGGATGTTCATAGCAGTCCGGCTTACAAGCAAGAGCCTTGACATAGTCCACGTGTCTCTGAGCAAGAAGAGGGTGAATAAACTGGATATTCACACAATGGAACACACAATGTATGATCTTATTTATATCACCTTGCAAATCCGCCAGTGTGCTATTTAATTTAATGAGTATTAATAATATAGCCACAATCCCAAGTGATGTTGAAAATAATAATTTTTTTTTTTTTTTTTGAGACAGGGTTTCTCTGTAGCTTTGGAGCATATCCTGGAACTAGCTCTTGTAGTCCAGGCTGGTCTTGAACTCACAGAGATCCACCTGCCTCTGCCTCCGGAGTGCTGGGATTAAAAGCGTGCACCACCACTGCCTGGCTGAAAATAATTCTTATCATTAAAATTTACCCTTATGTCTGGGCGGTGATGGTGCACGCTGTTAGTCCCAGCACTTGGGAGGCAGAGGCAGGTGGATCTCTGCATTCTAGGCCAGCCTGGTCTACAAAGGGAGTTCCAGGACAGTCAGGGCTACACAAAGAAACCCTGTTTGGAAAAACAAAAACAAAATATAATAAACAAATAAATAAAATAAATTAAAAAAGGAAAAGAAAGAAAAGTTACCTTCTGGTCTTGGCTGTTGATCACTTCTTTTGTTTCTAGTCTCAGAAACCACCTAATCTGCCTTCTATCAAGCTACTTTTGAACAAAGGCATTAGGACTATTTAAAAGTCTAAAGATCCCCTAGTGACCCCCAGGATCTTTACTAAGGGTTTGCAACTGGTCTAACTGGTTAGGTGCCTTTGGTTTAATTACAAGGTCAGGCTATTTTAAAACCCTCCTGGGAACTTGTGATTTGAACTTTCCCAAAGCCAGGATTGTACTACATCAAAAGTTCTTGACAGGCAGGGAGGGGAGCAGAGAAAAATGTAGAGCTCAAAAAAAAAAAAAAAAAAAAAAAAAAAAAAAAAAAAAAAAAAAAAAAAAAAAAAAAAAAAAAAAAAAAAAAAAAAAAAAAAGCCCAATAGTGGTGGTGCACAATCCCAGCACTTGGGAGGCAGGCAGAGGCAGAAGGATCTCTGTGAGTTCGAGGCCAGCCTGGACAAGAGCTAGTTCCATGACAGGCTCCAAAGCTACAAAGAAAGCCTGTCTCAAAAAAAACAAAAACAAACAAAAAATCTTAATATGAAAAAAATTCTTGACAAAGTGTGGTGCATACCTGTAATCCTAGCACTTGGTAGGTAGAGGCAGGAATGTCAAGAATTCAAGGTTATCCATAACTTAGTAAACTCCAGTCCTGTCTGGACTGCATGAGACCCTGTCTCAGAGAACCCAAAACCAAACTAAAATAACAGGGCTGGAACCCAACAGTGGTGGCTCATGCCTCTATCCCAGTACTTAGGAGGCAGAGACAGGTGGATCTTTGTGAATTTTAAGCTAGCCTGGTCTGCAGAGCTAGTTCTGGGACAGCCAGGGCTACACTGAGAAACCTTGTCTCAAAAAAATCAAAACAAAACAAATCTTCCAGTCAATAAATGGGCAAACCAAAATAAGCAATATAAATGATTAACAATATTTTTAAATGTTCAGTATCACTAGCCATAGAGAAATGCTAATTAAAACCACATTAAGTGATATATATATATATATAATTTTAAAAATAAAGGAAAAACTGCATTAAGCAGTTCATGGTGGTACATGCCTTTAATGCCACCACTCAATAGGCAGAGGCAGGCAGAAGTTCAAGGCCAGCCTGGTTTACATAGTGAGACCCTATTTTACCACTACAACCACCACCACCACCAAAAAAAAAAAAAAACAAAAAACACCATCAGATCCCCTGGAACTGGAGTTACAGACCGTTGTGAGCTTCCACTCATAACTGCTGAGAATAGAACCCAGGTCCTCTGGAAAAGCAGTCAGTATTATTAACCACTGAACTGTTGTTCCAGCTGAGGCTGCTTTGGGACTAGCTACATAGCTGAGGATGCCCTTGAGCCTTTGACCCTCTGATGCTGAGGTTATAGGTGTACGTGCCATGCCTGACTCTGAGTCTGGATTTTCACGTTTCCCCTCACACTTTCAGTTTCACCTCCTACATCAAGATATTTGATCCTTTCTGAGTTAATTTGTGTACAGAATGAAAGAGAGAGCCAGGTGGTGGTGGCGGCACACGCCTTTAATCCCAGCACTTGGGAGGCAGAGGCAAGAGGATCTCTGTGAGTTTGAGGCCAGGCTGGTCTACAAAGCGAGTTTCAGGACAGGCTCCAAAGCTACACAGAGAAACCCTGTCTCAAAACAAAAACAACAACAAAAACAAAACAATAAAACAAGCCAAAAGAAAACCAGAATGAGAGAGGGATCTGGTTTCATTCTCCTATATTATGGATATTTATTTTCCCAGCACCATTTTTTCAGTATGCCTTCTTTTATGTAATGTGTGTTTTTGTAGCAGGGCTCCTAAATAATGACACGGAGAATTCTTGTCAAGTATGAAAGCTTGGTCTTAGCTTAGGCTTATTCCCACGTGGCTCTTCAAATTTAAATTAAATTATGGTGTAGAAGGTCCTTCTGTTTATGTGTTGCTTTCATTGGTTAATCAATAAAGAAACTGCTTGGCCTGATAGGGCAGAACTTAGGTAGGCAGAGAAGACAGAACTGAATTCTGGGAGGAAGAAAGCAGAGTCAGAGAACCGCCATGGAACCACCAGAATCAGACATGCTGAATCTATGCCAGGAAGCCACTGTCATGTATTACTTCATTAATACACAGATTAATGAAGATGAGTTAAACTGATATGTAAGAGTTAGCCAATAAGAGGCTAGAGATAATGGGCCAGGCAGTGATTTAATTAATACAGTTTCTGTGTGGTTATTTCAGGGGCTAAACTAGCCGGGCAGCAGGG